TGTGTTTAATCATGAGCCATCAGATGGGTGACCCTGACAAGTTAATGGCCCTAGATTGCTCATTCTAACCTTGTATTCCTAGGAAAGGTGATTCTCCATTTAGGGATATAAGGAAATAGCACTCCCTTGTAAGATGATGAAAGTATTTCAGGTAACAGAAAGGCAAAATATGGCTTAGTGAGAAGATGGGCTTTAAGCCTTACAAAAAGCCATGGACTATTCATGTCACGTTGCTGTTTATCACAAGGATATTATTATCATATATGTGGTGTGTACATACATATACATAACCACTCCACACCGATGGAGGTGGCTTGTTGTTGTGTATATATAGATATATAAAATTTCACTTCACAGCAAAGTAGTAATCAGAATCTCCCAAGGGTCCTCATAAAATTCAAGATGGTATATTTCTGCATATGTTTAGGCTTTGTCTTCATTTAGATTATTTCTGGTAAAGAACGATTGCATCAATTTTACAGAGTAGTGCAGATGCAGTTTTGGACATGCCAATAATCTGTCTACTGCAGGATTTAGCAGCAGTAACTTTACATCAGCATTAAAATATTGTTAATTTAGCTCCACTGCACACCAAATATGTTATTACATTGCATTGGAAAGCTAATCCCCACTACACAAGAAGACATTGGATATTTTTTCCAGTTTTCTACAAAAGGCTGCTTGTAGTTCACAAGCACCAAGTTGGCATTTGCCTGGAGAGTTTTCTGGGACAATGCTGTGAAAGGCAAGTAGCTGAATGGTGCTCTATGAACATGCCTATCAAATGTAGCTAAGTTGCATTTGTTTGGTTTTTTTCTCAAAATGTCTGCATAGGGATGTGCTGGGGTGCATATATGTGTGTCAGCATAGAATCATAGAAAATTCTATGGGGGTTGGAAGGGACCCCAGGAGGTCACATCTAGTCCAACCCCCTGCTCAGAGCAGGCCCATCCCCAACTAGATCATCCCAGCCAAGGCTTTGTTTATCTGCGTCCTGAAAACCTCCAAGGATGGAGATTCCACAACCTCTCTGGGTAACTTGTTTCCATGTTATACTACCCTCCTAGTGAGAAAATTTGTCCTAATAGCTAACCTAAACCTCCCTTGCTGCAACTTGAGCCCATTGCTCCTTGTTCTGTCACCTGCCCCCACTGAGAACAGTTCAACTCCATCCTCTTTCTAACCCCTCTTCAGGTAGTTGAAGGCTGCTATTAAATCCTCTCTCAGTCTCCTCTTCTCTAGATTGAATAAGCCCAGTTCCCTTGGCCTCTCCTTATAAGTCACGTGCCCCAGCCCCCAGACCATTTTCATTGCTTTCTGTTGGACTCTGTCCAACTTGTCCACATCCTTTCTGTAGTGGGGCCCAAAACTGAACACAGTACTCCAGATGTGGCCTCACCAGTGCTGAATAGAGGGGAAAAAACACTTCCTTTGACCTGCTGGCAATCCTCCTACTGATGCAACCCAGAATGCCATTAGCCTTTTTTGCAACAAGGGCACACTGTTGGCTCATATTCAGCTTATTGTCCACTGTAACCCCCAGGTCTTTTTCTGCAGAGCTGCTGCCCAGCTAGTCAGCCCCCAGCTTGTACCAGTGCATGGGATTGCTCTGTCCTAAGTGCAGGACTTTGCACTTTTCCTTGTTGAACCTCAGGAGATTTCTTTTGGCCCAATCCTCCAATCTGTCTAGGTCACTCAGAATCGTAGCCCCTACCCTCCAGCATAACTACTACTTCCTCAGCTTGGTGTCATCTGCAAACGTGCTGAGGGTACACTCTGTGCCGTCTTCCAGGCCATTGATGAAGACATCGAACAAAACCAACTGACCCCTGGGGCACTCTACTTGATACCGGGTTGCCAACTAGACATCGAGCCATTGGCTACTA